CGGCCATTTTTACTGTTATTAACAGGCCTGCTATGGCCTCTCCATGCAAGCCCTTGGCCAACACAGGTACACGTTTCCACCCAGGGCCCTGTGGGGCTCGGAGCGTGCCTGTGCTCATCATGGGTTAGAACCTTGGTCTCTGTTCCCAGTCGCGGCCTCCTGCCCTGACCCTGAACTTACCCCTCCGTGCAAGCTGGGCTGCCACCCGGCTCTTCCATGCTGGTGCAGATCAGACTGGGCCCCGGCTTTGGGTGGGACAGCAATCCCAGGGCCATTGGAACCAGGGTGGAAAGGCAAACCAGGGGCACATGGAGCTCATTCCTCTCTGGAACTTATCTTAGGATGGAGGATCTCAGGAAGGACTTCAGATAGGAGAGCAGTTGACCGGTGACAGGAGCAGTTGACCGGCTAGGGGAGCCCCGTTTCTGTGTTCCAAGTAGTTCTAGCCAGCAAGAGCTAGGCTTGCACATTCAGACGGTGTATTCTTACGAATCTTTGTTCTGCAGCTTAGTGCACTGTAGAGAGGCCCATTGTCAAGCAGCCTGGTCATGGCGGGGGTCACAACATGCAGTGTAAATGGGTAGAACAATGTGGATCAGAGGCTCCCAGCTTGGACGCTCGGTGGGGGGAGGGGGTGAAGCTAGGGGGACCCCTCTCTTCTACAGCGTGTGATCTTTTGGTTCTTTTTGTGTGTGTGTTGGAGTCTCACTCTGTCACTCAGGTTGGAGGGCAGTGGCATGATCATGGCCACCGCAGCCTTGCGCTGCTTGACTCAGGCAATCTTTCTACCTCAGCCTTCTGTAACTACAGGCACATGCTACCACACCTGGCTAATATTTTGATTTATTGTAGAGACGAGGTCTCACCAAGTTGCCCAGACTGGCCTTGAACTCCTGGGCTCATGCACTCTTGCTGCCTGGGCCTCCAAAGTGCTGGGATGATAGGCTTGAGCCACCATGCCCGGCCTCTTCTAGTTCTTTTTGAAGGGAGGTTTCAAGTGCTCAGTCAAAAGATCCGTCGTGATCCTGCCTGTAGGTTAAGCCCCGGGCAGGTGTATGTCCAATTTTGTACTTGTCATGGGGAAGGTATGGAGTTCAGAGTTCTTGTCATTGTTTTTTTTTTTTTTTTTTTTTTTTGAGTTGGAGACTCACTCTGTCACCCAGGCTGGAGGGTAGTGGCACTCTCACAGCCACTGCACCAGGTTTCTCGGTTTTTCTTTCTTTTTTTTTTTTTTTTGAGTTAGAGTTTCACTCTGTTGCCTAGTTGGAGCACAGTGGTACTCTCACGGCCATTGCAGCCTCGACCTACTGGGCTCTGGCGATCCTTCCGCCTCTGCCTTCCAAGTAGCTGGAACGACAGGCACACGCTACCACGCCCAGCGAATTTTTGATTTATTGTAGAGACGAGGTCTCGCCAAGTTGCCCAGGTGGGTTTCGAGCCCGTGGGCTCAGGCAATCCACTCGACTTGGCCTCCCAAAGTGCTGGATGACAGGCTGAGCCATCGAGCCAGGCCTTCTCGTTGTTTTTGAAGGGTGAGAGCTTATCATGATTAATTCCGTGCTACTGTGCATCAGGCATGAGGTTCAGCACTTGACAGGCACCGCCTCGTTATTTCATTTAATTCTCACACTCATTCCATGGTATTATCATCCCATTTGGACAGAGGAAGAGACAGGCTTACAGACACGAAGGCTCAGTACCCACATCTCTCTGATTCCAAAGCTCAAACTCTTACCCTTCTCTGGTTCTGTCCAACTGAGCCCAGGTACCCAATGGCCATGGCTGGTCCTGCCAGGCCGCCAAGCTGCCACCCCTTGCAGTGGGTAGAAGCTGTGCTGCAGGTGATGATGGGTTGTGTTAGGCCTGGCATTTAGTTCACCCTGGACCGAGGAGGCCCGTGGCTGAGCCCGAGACGATGTGTTCCTAGCTTCCAAGAGATGGGCACAGAAGGCCAGCAGGTTGCCAAGTGCTGTCCCACCTCTGAGCCCACAACCCCCTGACTAAGGGATGCATCTGAAGAAACTTGAGGCTCAGAGCTTAAGTCATGCCCTGGTGCGGCAGAGGGGCTGTTTGTGCCGGGCCTCTCGATGACCTCTGCTGCACCTGTCTGAAGTCAGCAGCTGAAGTGGCCTTGACCAGGCCCGCTGAGCTCCATGAACGTGTCCTTACGCCGTACCTCGACATGACGGAATACTGACGGCAGTCGTTCTGTACATGCCAGGGTCTTCCCATTATGAGAAGGAGCCGCTGCATGAACTCGGGAGAAAGGGTTACCAAGCGCTGTTCCCTTTGGTGTCAGCTCCGGACTCTCAGGGACCTCAAGCTGGTCCAGGAGTGGCCCTGGTCCCTGGATGGTGCCCGGAAGCCACCAGGGATGCTGGTTAATGCAACTTCTGGGCACTTCCTGAGACTCGGGATCTTCCAGCCCTGAGGAGATATGGAACTTGTCAGAATATGAAAACTTGACGCAACTTCAGGCCAGTGTGTAGGTGACACCATGGGCCATTCCTTGCCTTCAACTTTGCTTGGAACGATGAGGTGGCGTGATCTGTGGAAGTGTGAAGCCCAACAAGGCTTCTCCCGGGGGGTTTGTAGAAGGTCCAAGTGGCCTTCAGAGCCTCCGACCGGGGTTTGCCATGTGGTAAGAAGTTTGCAACACAGCTGTGTTTATCTGCAGAGGCCGCAGGGTTTCCGTGTCTGCACACAGGGCTCGGTGCTCACACTCCCTCCCTCGTGGCTGCTTCCCCGTCACACACTATGTGCACCAGGGCACCCGTGTGGCGGCTTGACCCCGGCCCCCACGTGACACCAGCTGCCCAGGAAACGCTTGCGGCAGGGCTCTCCTGGCAAATGCCTGCATGCCTGGATGGGGGCTGCATTCCTCGCCAGGGCTCACACTTCTGGCACCGACTTGCTGGGAGAGGGCTGTGTCAGGGACCAAGAGGTGGCACAGGGATATGACCAGGGGCTGCATGGGCTGACCCCTGACGTCAGGGTCCAAAATCCCGGCCCCTGCTCCTCCAGGGCGACTTGACTTTCCGCCAGGTTATGACTTAACCTCTCTGGGTCTTGGTCTCGGTCTCATCTGTAAGTGGGGAAAATAACAGTCCCTGCTTCGAGGTGCTGCTGAGGGGACCACAGAGCACGCGGCATGGTGCCAGTCCCCACGGGGCCTCAGGATAGCTGTCAGGGTGTTGGGATCTGCTCCCCCGGGGTGTGGGAGCTGTGCTGCTCACAGCAGACCATACTGGGGTGGGCCCTGCCGGTCTCTCATCGCCTGCTCTAGCTGTTCCAGGGACACAGTCCCACCAGCCCTTGCAGATTTGTCCGCGGAGGCCTCAAGGATCAGCTCTCTCCCGCCTCCCTCCTCCAGGCAGTCCCCTGCCAGGTGAGACTCAGTCGCCATCCCTCACCATCCCTTCCCCAGCCTGTGAGCTTCTCAGGAACAGAGGCTGTGGGGCTGTCTTTATAGCCACCAGCCTGGCGCTGCCCTGACAAACAGATGTCTGTGGAACGCACGAACCTCAGAGGCTTATGAGTAAGGTAACCTGATTTAGTTGACTTCACCTTCACTGCAGGCTGCTGGCTGGAGAGGCCAGGCTGAAGGTGTCTGGGTGGCTATGGTGTGGGAGTGGACACATGCTTGGCGTGGAACACCTGCCACAGAAGGGAGCCCACCACCCTGAACGTCCTGCGTACTGCGTCATTGGGAGAAGCCAAGGCTTCCACTGTGACAGGACAGCTTGGGGTAAGTAGACTTGGTTGACTTATCCTAATGATGACCATCACCACCTGCCCGGCCCTGCCACAAACACCTTCTGGAAGCGGGGAGGAGTAAAAAAAAAAAAGGCAGAAGTGGGCACAGGATTAGGATAGGGGAGAAAAAGTGGAAGTGGGGAGGCAGGGGGCCATTGCTGAGAACTGGGTTCACAGTGCTGCCTGTCACTCACTGTGTGACCTGGAGCCGGTCACCCCGGCTGCGAGCCAACTGCCCCATTATGTCGTCCACCTCACCAAGGACTCGACGCAGGCAAAGAAACACGGGCCACCATGGCGGGTGTGAGGACCTGCAGTGGAGGGTGGGGGTGGGCCTCCCGGCATCTCAAGGAGCCTGGGCTGTTGGGCGTGGCTGGATCCTGCAGGGACTGTGGCAACCGGGGGAGTCATTAGTTCCAGACACTCTTCCAGGTCGAACACCCTATGCACCACGTGAAATAACTTCTGGAAGCCGATGGACGCCCGGGCGCCCTCTGCTGGGGGTCTCCAGGTCCTATGTCAGCCTCACCCAGAAAAACCTGGATCGTCACTGGCTTCCACACCGAAGCCCATGCGTTTGACCCATGTGTTTGGCACGTGAACAGGCGACACACCCATGAAAGGAGGCAGAAGGGACGCCGAGGCCAGAGCCTCTGAGTCTTCAGGCCAGTTCCAGCCCACTCTCCTCCCCCACGCTGCCCTCTGGTCAGGTGCCCCTCGCCCGGCCCCATAGCAGAGACCATCCCTGCATGGTGGGAATCTCGAGGGTGGCCCTGGTGTGGACTTGGCCCTCATGGCCCATGTCCATGCCTCCCTTGCATGTGGACAAGTCTCTGGGCCTCGTGCTCAAGCTCTGTGAGACTGAGGGGGCTGTGCTGCCCATGGGCTTGCTGACTCGGGAGTGACATGGGCACAGCGCTGGGTGGGCCTGCTCCCCTGTGCAGCAGTGCTAGCCACGGAGCTACATGACAGAAGCAAACTCAGGGCACTTAGCTAAGTGCTGTTGACACGGTGACACGTCGTCCTAGCTACAGCTTCTCTCTGTCCTGTTCACATCAACAGGGGAAGAAGAGGGTGCAGGGCAGGGGTTGGGAGGGGACAGAGGTCCAGGGTGTTGGCTGGGCCAGCACTGACCCAGAGTGGAAGTGGTTTGTGTTATATACCCCGAAGCACAGCCAGACGGAGTCTTGAATTCTCCAGCCAGGAGAGTCACGGCCAACCCACAAAATGCCCGATTGCGGAGGTTTGGGATCAACTGAGAATATGTTTATTTAAAAGCAATTTTAAATATTAAAAAAAGTAGAAATTAACACACACAGTACTGAAAAACGGTCACATTAAATACATGTGAAATGCCAAGTGTACTGATGTTGGATGGTGACACCCAGATGAGGATTCGGAATTTAACTGGTGGCACTGCAAGACTCCTACACGACATGTTGAAGTTCCAGGCAATAAAAAAATAAGTAGCAATTGCTGCTCGACAGTAAAGTAAGACATACACCATTTGCGGAACATGACTTTCCCCTCTGGGGAGAAAACAACTCATTTGCTGCTTTTTTCATAAAGTTCCATACCTTCACATGCTGCATCACGTACAAAACTGCAGACAGTGGCTCACCAAGTTTCAGAGCGAGATCAGGCTTAAACTCAACAAGATAACCGAAGGCATTTCTAGCTTGTTGTCCCATGTAAGCTGGGTTAGAGAGAACTCAAATTCCTAATGGAAAGCAAACAAACAAAAAATCCAGAAACAAAAGTATCCAAAAATGCATTTGTGTAAGTTGCTGCAAAAGGGGAAAAAATAGACATTAACTCGTGTAATTTTAGACATGCGGCTTTTGTTTTTTTAAAAAACCAGTTTATTCTGAGATAGTTGAAAATAGTCTGGGCCACAAAAACGAAGAGCTCCATAACACAAGTTAGAACACGCGAACCAATGACTGGGACGCTGGGCAACCTCGGGGGCTGACTTCTGTCCTGACGCGCATGTGGCTTCGGCATCGAGCCACTGAGCTGCCAGTCACTCACCAGCATGTTGATGGGTCCACGCGTTCTCAGGCACGGGTGGGAACTCACATGTGCCCTGACACTGAGGGAGCAATTGCTTAAGATCACTTTCCAATAACAGCTGATAAATATTTTGCAGGTTTGTCATGCAAGGTTTATTTATTAGGTGGCTATTCAGAGTTTTCATAGTAACCACTTAAGCAGAACTAAATTAATACTCACTGAGCACTGGAGCTATGACAGAGGGCTTTTCCTACGGGTTTGGTCAGGAGTTGTGCTTCTGTGAAATTAACATTTCTCACTCACTGCCAAGATTCTCTGCTTAAAAATATTAGTTTTCTGTGCTGTTGCCAAAATAGCAATTTAAGCAAATGTAATGCCATAACGACACATGAGCCTCAGAATCAGAGAACAGTTTCACTGCTGAGTACAACTATTGTATTTTCTTCTCTAAAATTCAGACTGATGTGAAAGACTGAAATACTCAGGATGTTCTTAATGATCTGATGAACACACTGGGATGAAAAAAACTGAGCAGGAGAGAGTGCTTTTCACAGTGCAATTCATAGCAGCGGCCACAACGTGGTTATGAATTGACTTGAGGGTGGACAGAGCTTGAGATGGGAAGACTCATTTCTAACCGGAGTTTAACCAAGAGCGAGGGAAAAGAAAAGCTTGGTTTCAGCACCTGGATTCTATAGGAGGGAAGCTGCGTGGAGGGCTGGCTGTTAAACTCTTCATCTTGAATAATCTTTAAAAAATTTAAATTTATCCAAGAATAAAACTAAGAAAATAATTTAAAACTGACACATCAGATGCTTCGCCACATTTGCGGGCTGCTGATTCATGACAGGATATGTGAATCCACACTCTCGGGGAAGCCAAATGACTAGAAACAAATACTGTTGCAACCTTATAATTTCTGCTTTAATGGCAATCAAGTTTAAAAAATGTACAGTTCCACTCATCCATATACTATTCCTTTATAAAAGGCAGATTTCAGGTAAGCTTCTAAATGCATGCATAATGTAGAGGCTAATATCTTCTGGCAGTCCTTGATTCCTGAAAGTTGAACTTCATCATACGTGTTTTAAACTTTTGTCAAAATAGTTGTGAAGGATATGTTATTTTTGCATAATGAGGTAATATCTCAGGGGTGGGCACTCACCATCATAAGACAGTATAAATCCACTTGTTTAAACTTGCATGAGGCTGTGGTGCACTGTCAAATGCCACCAAGAGTTTTGGGTCAGAGAATATTTTGCTGAAGGAATAACACTTACACTTAACTGAGCACTTTTCTGTAATAAATACCAAAGTAGGTTTTTGTAGCTGTAAACGGTGTACACAGAGAACTACAGGCTGGTCTACCATGGAGTGCAAAGCTTCACCTGGAAAACGGAACCCACCTCTTTGCTAATGTTGCATTTCCAATAACAACTGAGAATACTGCATTGTTAGGAACAGAGTCGAGTCCATGCCTTTCAACGGTTGCTGGAGACCACTTCTATTTGCAAAGCCAGCAGTTCCTATACTCGTCTGTTTGTCTGCTTGTAAAACAGCGAAGAGAGATGTAAGTGCTAGATGCCAAGGATGGCTTTGGCAAGCCAGTAAGGCGCGCCGGGTCCCGAGGCTCCCCTAATACTGGCGGAGGCAGAAGACCATGGGATATTTACAATGCACACTGTACTCCCCTCCTGAGTGGCCCTTCCGAGAGTTTCTGATCTGTAACAGCCGCTATATACACGTTGTGCACAGGATGACATGGGGCGGCAGTCTTGCACGAAGGGTGTGCACAATCGTAAGGTTCTGCTTTTGCTAGTCGGACAGGATGTGAACGAAGGACACTGGAAAGACCCCCTTCCTTTCCGGCTGTCCTTCGATGTGCCCGATCTGCAGGGAGAAAAGAGAATGGTCAGGTTGGAGGCAGCAGGCAGCCACCCCGATAGGCCCAGTGGCTAACAGCCCAGCCTGGAGTCTGCCCACAGACCTGGGCTGGAATTTCAGGCTTACTCTTCTCCATACTTTACTTTGTTCTTTAAAAAAAATTTTAAAGACAGGGTCTCGCTCAGTCTCCCAGGTCGAAGTGCAGTAGAGTGATCACAGTTCACTGCAGCCTCGAACTCCTGGGCTCAAGAGAGACTACTGTCCCAGCCTCCTGAGTATCTGGGACTACAGGCACGCACCCCCACGTCTGGCTGATTTTTTCATCTTTTGTAGAGATGGGGTCTCACCCTGCCGCTCAGACTGCTCTTGAAACCTTGGCCTCAAGACAGCCTCCTGTTTCAGCCTCCCAAAGTGCAGGATTACTGGCCTAACAGCACTTCCCCACCCCTTAGAGAACTATGGGGAGCTCAGTGATCATGAACCACCCAACAAAATGGCAAATGTCAGAATGTCCAGGAAGCTCTGCACTTCCACAGGGATCTCACTGCACCCCCACAATACACATGCACACACGGAAGGGCTGCTGTGGCCCAGTCGCTTATTTTGCGGCGAGGAGAGGATGCTGTGGAAGTCTGAGGCTGATGTGGCCTGTGGCACTCTTACTGGGTGCTGCGTACGCCTGTCAGCCACGGTTACCCGCAGACATTTTCCAATGACCTCAACCAGATCAGTATTAATTGCACTAAAGAGAAGAACAATGTGGCTGGGTTCAGTGGCTCAGCCTGTCATCTCAGCACTTTGGGAGGTTAAGGAGAGTGGATTGCCTGAGCCCGGGGGTTCGAGACCCACGTGGGCAACTTGGCGAGACCTCGTCTCTACAATGAATCAAAAATTAGCCGGGTGTGGTAGCGTGCACCTGTAGTTCTGGCTGTTTGGAAGGCTAATGAGGAAGGATCGCCAGAACCCAGTGGTCGAGGCTGCGGTGGCCGGGAGCGGCCACTGCACTCCAGTCTGGGCAACAGAGTGAGACTCCAATTAAAAAAAAAAAAGAAAATAAATAGAACAATGTCATGTCACAAGCCTTCAATAGGGAGAATACAACTGTGTGCATTGGCTTCAAATGCTAACTGTGCAGAGAAAGGTAGATTCAAGAGGGGGACAGACTCAGTCAGTCCGGCCCAGCTCTCCACACATGGCCCTGCACCTCATGTGGTCTTGACTGGCCTCACGTGTGTGGGGGTGCTTTGTGATCACATGTCACCGTTAGGATGCGCGGTGCTCTCTCTCCAACTGGCTGGCACGCAATGATGGCACACAGACTGTCCCTAGGCATGACGCTAGACATAACAGAGAACTTCCCCCTCCCCTCAGGAGTCTCTGCTGTGGTCTCTGGTTTCTGAGCAAAGAATACAACCACTGCTTGACTATAATAACATTAACAGATTATAAAGTGAGCTTCTGACAGCCTCTTGAGGCAGGATTAAGCACGCTCTGTTTTTCAGAGAAAACTGAAGCTTACAGAAGGGACATGCTTTGTCCAAGGCCACAGAGCTTGTGACTGACTCAAGCTGGGGACTTCAGAGCCCATCTCCTTGTCATTACATTAAGCTGGCACTTGGTGGACTTCCCACAGGGGCAGGCCCACCCTGCTGACAGAGAGGCTACAAGCATTGCCTGGCCCTGCCTGTGCTCACCCCTCAGCACCACAGGACAGTTAGTGGCATCCCTGGCTTCTGCTCACTGGAGACCTCTAGCACCCCCTCCCAGGTCCTGACTAGCAACGTGCCTCCAGCTACTCTCAACATTCCTGGAGGGCACAACTGCCTTTCATGGAGAATCAGTGCTTCAGTCCCAGCACAACCCTTACAGCTGTGACCAAGGATCTGCAGGCACCGTTGAGGCCCGAACAAGAGAAGCTCAAGGTGAGTGTGTGTATGCATGTGTTTCTCAGTCACAGGTCCGTGGCTCCATTGCAAACTGCAAGGTGTTTCCTGGCAGACTTAGCGGAGTCCTTTTTGGCAGGAGTGGCTCAGTGCCAAGGTAGGGGGCTGCTCACGCGGAGGCCAGGAAGTGACCAGCCAGAAAAGTGTAAGAAGTAGCTGTTAACAGCCCCTCAGCCTGGCAGTCCCCAGGGCAGCCAGGAGGGCAGCCCTTGTAGGCCACTTACAACCTGGGTCCCCACCAGGGCCTCTAAGGACACTGATGCCTTTCCTTCCTAATACCTGGGGCAGGTCTTAATGTAAGGTTTTCATAGACATTCTCCTTTAATCTTCTCCTGAAATCACATGAGGAAGGTGTCATGGCCTTAATTTACAAGGTGAGAACTGCAGACTGGATCGAGGAGTGACCTGAGAACTGAGTCTGTAAATGGCAGGGTCTGGACCTGAGCTTGGGTTGCCTGCCTCCCAGCCTGGGGACAGTGCAGGATGATGAGGAAAGCTGACAGGCTCTGGGACCGGTGCCACTTGGAATCGTGGCTGTGCCTGCTCACTGGCTGGGAGACCACGGGCAATGTGCTCAACTTCCTTGAGCTTTAGTGCTGTATCTGAAAAATCAGAAAACACCTGCAACTTGCAAGGCTGCTGCATGACACCATGGGTAAATACCATAACACAAATGTTACTTCTCTTGACCCGTTTTCAAAGCGTCGCGGCTGCTTTCTCAGCACGTAACAGTGACAGAAGACACTGAAGTGACGGCTGCTGGGGAGCAATGCTGCGGCAGGACCCTGTGCTCGAGGGCGCCCTTTCTCTCACTGTGCATCTGCAGGGCCCAGGGCAGGGCCTGTCCAGTGCTGACTGGGGATGAACGAATGAAGTGACAGATACTCATACATACCCACCACTCCTGGTCCTCCTCCCCCGTGACAATGATCACTTCTCCCTCGATGAACGTGAGCTCATCATCGTTGTCTGCCTGGCAGTCATAAATGGTCTTCACTCGTCTCACTTTATTCTTCCCCTTCAATAAAGAAACGGAGTTTTAGCTGAAAGAACAGACCGAAGGAAAAGAACACGGCTTTCTTTACAAGATGGATGACCTTGGTCAAGAAACCACCTTGCTGAGCCTTGACTTCCTCAACCTCAGAAGGTGAAGTGAACACCCACCAGGCACCCGGCACACTGTGTGCTCCCACGGAGTGACAGACCCTTTCTGTACCCCCGGCATCAGGGCAGCGTCCCGAGCCAGTGATCAGGCATCACTGAACTCTTTTCACCAGAAAGCAAACAATATGGGATCATCGTGGCATGGATGTTGACGGGGGTCAAAATTCAGCTTCACCAAAAAGCATGAAGCACTCTGCCTCCCACAGCCATAGCATCAGCTTGCAGAAGTGACAGCAGAGTCTAAATATGTTTTTAGGAAACATGATGTAAAGCAAAATGTGCAGCTTTTGCATACTGAATGTGCAGCATAAACAAATCTCTCAGTCCCCTCATGCAAAAGACCGAGTCAGAACATGCCGGGGAAACATGCAGGATCAGCCCCGGCCCGGGAGGATTCCCCTGGTTTCTCTTTTAACCCTGGCAGTTCCAACTCCTTCCTGAGCTCCCTTCTGCCTGTGCTGTGGGCTCTGTGAAGTCTGGCAGAACTGTGGCAGCAGGAGATCTGCATCTCAGTTCTAACTCCGTGACCAACTGGGAAAGCCCACAATGTGTTAATTTATAACAGAGAGGATTAAATGAGATAAGAAATCAATCATAAAGCAAGTAGCACAAAATGGAAGTCTGCCCTTGCCAGGCTGGTGAAGCCGTGGGGCTGCCTGGGAGTCGTGGGAGGTTTCCCTTCTGAACAGCAACAGCATCCGCCACACGAAACATGGTGGCCTTCAGCCTACAGGATGAGCTTTATTTTCTCACCTCGCCTTTAGCAGTGACGCAACACACTTTCATTGTGACTTCTTTTATGGTAAAGTGTGAGAGGGGACAGAGCTGCCACGTGTAATGGGAGGCCTTTTGGCTTCCCTGTTAATTTTGCTACTCCAGCTGGGGTGCAACTGCCCTGTGACGGTGCCTCTGTGGACAGGACCAACAGCATGTTTACAGCTTCCTGGATCATCATTTTTCTACCAAGATTTTTTTTGGGAAAAAATCACTTCTGGCTGAGAGTCATGGCTCATGCCTATAATACCAGCACTTTGGGAAAACTGCTAGAGGCCAGGAGCTTGAGACCAGCCCAGGCAACACAGCAAGACCTCATCTCTACAAGAAATAAAAAAATTAGCCAGGCGTGGTAGTGCTTTTGCAGTCCTAGCTACTCGGAAGGCTGAGGTGGGAGAATCACTTCTTCTGAGCCAGGAGAAGTCTGAGGCTGTGGTGAGCCATGGCTGTGCCACTGCACTCCTGCCTGGGTGACAGGATGAAACCCTGATCTAAAAAAAACCCTATTATATTAAAATACAACTGATATATTATGGAGTAGAAAGCAGTTCATGAAAAAGAATGAGACTTCTACAAAATTCCCTATCTGTGGAAGTCTCTCTGGGCTTTGCCTCCAATTCCTCTAGGAAGACACAGTGAGAAGCACTGACTTAGAAGATACTCAGGGGCAACCCCTTCGGGTCCCCTCCCACTGTGGGAGCTTCTCTGTCCTCTCAATAAATCCTGCTTTCTCTAAAAAAAAAAAAATAGATACTCAGAACCCAGGGAGGGACACTGCTTTCTTTTTTTTTTTTTTTTTTGAGTTGGAGTCTCACTCTGTCACCCAGACTGGAGTGCAGTGGCCGCTCCTGGCCACCGCAGCCTCTACCTGCTGGGCTCCGGCGATCCTTCCGCCTCAGCCTTGCAAACAGCCGGAATTACAGGCGCGCGATACCATGCCCAGCTAATTTTTTGATTTATTGTAGAGATGAGGTCTCGCCTGACTAGGTGGGTCTCGAACCCATGGGCTCAGGCAATCCACTCACCTCTTCTTGTGACCCCGGGGAAAGGGAAAGTGACAAGGTTCCTAGATGAGTGGCCACCTGCCGAGAGGTCTAGGTGCCATTTGCCATTGAGTTTAATCATTCATGAGCTCAGATCTTATGTCAGCTTCTTTTCATATGAGGACATCAAGGCTCAGAGAAGGCAGGTAACTTGCCAAGACCATGCAGATAAACTGGACAGTGAAGCCAGGTCTTGAGGCCTGTTTGCCAGAGCCTGAGCCTTTGTAAACCAGCAGGCTCCACTCACCAGATGATGGAGCAGGAGCACAGAGATCCGAGGAGCGGGAGCTCTCGCGTTTTTATGTGTAAGCTGGAGGATGTGCCAGCCTGCCAGCTTGCATAGTACAGCAGAGAGTTCCTGAGAGCCCGAACATGGGGGCCACTCACCGTATTGATTTTTCTGGGCAGTGGTATGGGCGTCTCTGGCAGAATAGGCGTGAGGTCATTGGAGTCTTCCGATGCTTGCTTCTGGATGGCATCTCTGGACTGCACATTCGGAGAGAGATCTGCTGGCTGTGACTTCGGGGCGAATTCAGAGGGCTGCTGAGCCTTGGGTGAGACATCTCCAGGCTGGGGTTTGACTAGCAGGTCTCCCAGCTGGGGCTTGGGGGGCAGGTCCTTCATCTGTGGTTTGGGGGGCAAGTCTGAGAGCTGGGGTTTGGGCGGCAGGTCCCCCAGCTGCGGCTTGGGGGGCAGTTCTCCCGGCTTAGGTGGCAAGTCTCCAGTTTGGGGTCTGGGTGCCAGTTCTGTGGGCTTTGGGGGCAGCTCTCCAGGTGGTGGCTTCTGTGGTAACTCTGCCAACTGTGATGATTTCTGAAAGACTTCGGGCGGGATACTGGCTTTGTCTAGCGAGAGATGATGGCTGGTTTCTGTTTTCCTTAGTGCCACTGAGGAAGCAATCGCAGAGAAGGAGGCCATTGGGAGAGCGCACAGGAGGCAAGGGCTCCCTCCCACTGCCACAGTCGCCTGAAAGAGGCACAGTCCCCGTGAAGGGAACCGACCTAGAGCATATGAAATGGACAGACCCAGGGGCCGGGCCCAGTCAGTTGTTTTAAAAGCTGAAAGCTGGAAGCCTGGGAGATGTTACAGTTCATGATTTTGTGCCTCAATTGTGTAAGCACAAGATGTCCCTACTAATCCAGAATTCAGAAAAACATAAACATTACTACAGACTACAAAAAATTGGAAAGTACATAGTTAAAAAGGAACCTTTCCACTAGCCTACCACCTAAATGTAGCCATTTTAGTATTTTGATGTTTCCCTCTTGATTCTTCTATACATTTTCCACAGATATAGCTTTTATATAAATACTATTTTAGTAGAGTATTTGTTATGTTACTAAACATTCTTTACTAGTGGCATGTAATTCTGAATGGTATATTCTATTCCATTCTATAGCTGTATCATAATTTATGCCCCCGATTTTTTTGAAGGATTCATGCAGTGCACAAGACAAGAAGTACATGTTCTGGTGATTCACATGTGCTTATGAATGTATCTATTAAAAAACATAAATAAGATATATACATTGTCTGAAACTTTGCTTTTCCTCACTTACTACATTTGGGAGAGTTTCTAAGTCAGTTCCTCTTTACTGTCTTTAATGGCTGCACAGGACTGTACAACCTAGAGAATGCTATGATTTGTTGATCTATTCCTACAGCTCCTTTTAAGGACACTAAGGATGCGTCTCGAATTCTAGCTCTACCACTTACTGTCTGTGTGACCTTGGGCAAATTATACAACCTCTCTGTGCTGCAACTCCCTCATCTCTAAAACCCTACCTTCAAAGAGCTGGCATGAGGATTACCTAGATTAACATATGCAAAGAATTCACTGACAGAACCTGGCAGGCATTACGTAAGGGCAGTGTTATCATCACTATGAGGTAGAGTTCCTGAAGGCCGAGATTCCCAGTTCCGCCTTATTTTGGCTCCTGACACAGAGGCCGAGCATACAGTCTGTACTCAGGGAGGAAACAACTGACTAAGGCTCACGAGTGAAGCAACCTAGGAGTTCAACCCTAAAAATACATCGTGTTCAGAAAGACGCCCTCTCCCCAAATAAAAACAATAAGAGAAGATAAACCCGGTGCTGTGAACTGTCACAAACTGTACTGGGCCACATTTCTTAAAAAATCAAATTCAGGGGCACCCAGCTCAGGGCCACCCACTGGCTGGCCAATAACCGGTGCAGGCAGTCAGGAGGGAAAAAGCGGGGGGAATCCCCAAGGCAGCGGGACGGGGAAGGCCTTGCTGGGAGATGCACTCACGGGGGAACAGAAGCAGTAAGACCTAGGCAACCTAGTCCTCAAAATACACACGCCTTTTCCTTGCAACTCCACGCTAGGACTTTATTCTAAAAAATAATCAAAGTCATACACTGAGATGTCTGTGCCAGAATTCAGCACAGTCTTCTTTACAAGGGACAGTCAACCATCTGGATGTTGAACAGCAGTGGATTGCTTACGGTGAAATACTATGCAGCCAGTAAAAATTGAAATGGGTAATTAATGTCATGAATGGTGGCTCATGCCTATAATCCCAGCACTTTGGGAGGCCGAGGTGAGAGGACTGCCTGAGCCCACGGGTTTGAGAGCACCCTGGGTAACTTGGTGAGACCTCATCTCTACAATAAAAAAATTAGCTGGGTGTGATGGCATACACCTGTGGTTCCAGCTACTTGGAAGGCTGAGGTGGAAGGATCGCCTGAGCACAGCAGGTCAAGGCTGCGGTGGCCGTGAGCACGCGATGCACTCTAGCATGGGCAACAGAGTGAGACTCTGACTCAAAAAAAAACCAAAAAACCAAACCCGAACCTAAACAAAAAAAAAGACAGAAGATATATACCAAATCAGTTATCTTGGGTGGTAAGACTTCAGGTGGTTTGTGTTTCCTCACCTGTATTTTTCAAATCTTCTGTAATGAATAGATTATGACTTTTTTAATAATAGAAACAAAATAATAAGAAACAAATAAAACAAAATAATAAGAAACAAAAGTTTTTCCTTTAGAAGAGCCTGCCCAGCCTTTGTGGTTATTTTATTTCCAAGTTAGTTTTATCTCCCCGTCCATGAAAAGTCCTTTCTGACTACATTCTTGAACTCTGGAGGGTGGGAAAGGCTAGCGGGCTTTCTCCATGACTGGCCTACACAGCATACACTGTGACCGCGAGGCACATTAAAAACAGAAAAGGAATGAAAACGTCAGTCCCCCTCAAACAAAAACAAATCGCCAGTGGTGGGGGTGATGGCGCAACTGCTTTGTGCAGGCAGAAGCCACTGGAAAGCTAATAGACCCGGCCCTCTGCAAAGCTATGTGGTACCCACAGCATGGGCCCTTGAATCCCAGCCCCCTGCTGTAACAGCTCCATTCCTGAGCACTGATCAAAGGATGAAACTGAGGACGAGGTAGAGGAGGAGAAGGCCTGAGTGAAGATGTTCACTGTGAACTTTCAGCCCAAATGTCCACCAAAAGGGAATGCTGAGTAAATGATGGCACTGCTCTTGGTGGGCCAGCACATACCTGACGGTGTTTATGAAGAGCTCGTGAACACGTGGAAAATATGTTAACATGCTCAGTGGAAAAAACAGGCTACAAGACTGACTGCACTCTCAAGATGACAACGATAGAAAATGTGTGTTTTCGGAGGGGTCAGGGAGTTTCTTACAGAATTAGAGTGACTTTGTTCATCTTAAACGTACTGTTTAATGTTTCTAAAATAGTCTTACAAAAAATGTATTTTAAAAATGGCTCAGCCAGGCTCGGTGGCTCAGCCTGTAATCCTGCGCTTTGGGAGGCTGAGGTGAGTGGATTGCCTGAACCTGCAGGTTTGAGACCCACCTGGGCAACTTGGGGAGACCTCATCTCTACAATACATCAAAAAAAAAAATTAGCTGGGCGTGGCAGCAGGTGCCTGCAATTCCAGCTACTAGGAAGGCTGAGGAGGAAGGATCGCCAGAGCCCAGCAGGTTGAGGCTGTGGTGGCGGGGAGCGTGCCACTGTACTCCAGTCTGGGCAACAGAGTGAGACTCTAACTAAAAAAAAAAAAAATAATAAATAAGATAAAAATGGCTCTACTGTAGCAGCATGTCTCCCGTCAAGAAGACTTTAACGCCCCCCCACCCCGTTTTTTGTTTTTGTAGAGACGAAATTTTGCTATGATGCCCAGCTGGTCTTGAACTCCCGGGTTCAAGCAATTCTCCTGCCTCAGCCTCCCAAAGTGCTGGGATTACAGGTGTGAGTACCAAGCCCAGTCTACTTTAACTCTTTTAAAAGGCACTCAAAGGACTTGAAAAGTGGGTGGTGTTGTATGGGGAAAGAGGGGGCTGTGGCTGGGAGAGTCCACTCTGAAGTACCTGCCGGGGCAGCTGTTCACTGCCACAGCATAGATGGCAAGTAGGCGAGTGAAGAGGCCAGGCTGGGCTGCAGCCTCTCCCCAACACCGCGCCCTCCCCATCTCTATAGCTGGCACGTGCCCACCGTCCTGGTGTCTCCACTGCAGTAAGAGCGCTTGTGACTGAGGTTTGTCATGCTCTCCTCCAGCACCTGGCACAAGGCCCACAGCAGAGCAGCTGCTCAATAGATACTGGTGTCCTGAATCCACAGAGAAAGAAGTCAAGGCCTACACATACACTGCAAGCTAGCTGCTCCACTGCTAAAAAATTCAGTGACCTGGAACAGGTTTCTTAACTCACTGAGCTTCAGTTTTCTCATAGAAAAAACGTGGACGATATTGTATACTTCAAAAAGGGGCAGCTGGGATGACATCAGATAAAAAAAGCAAGTGCCTGACTTGTAGCAGGCACTCAACAGATGCTGGCCCCTGTCTGTTGCATGGGGGGTGGGAAGGGTGGCCGTGGGGACAGAGGGCCTTGGGACACTGGAGGCTTTTCTAACCTGAACTCAGGGCCCCATCATCACCACCATGGTCATGAGGTACATGCAGGGTCATGCTGGCAAGGAAAGACTGACAAGGAAAGGGTGACTCTTCTGCCGCTATTTGCTGGGCACGTGTGGGGGCACTGTTCCAGGCACTTGAGGCATGGCAGCAGATGGAACAGACCAGGCTCCTGCCTGTCAGTAGCCCAGATTCTGGCGAGAGGGTGACAGGAAGGCCCATCTGGAGGGGAGTCGGGAGTGTATTCCAATTCTGCATTGAGGAGCCTGTGAGATGGCAAGTGGTGGTGCTAAGCAGGTGAGAGAGGGTAAGCGTTGAAGAGAGCAGCGAGCTGGGCGTATGTGGCAGGAGGGCAGTACCACGTGGGACAGTCAGGGAAGCCTCTGTAACATGGCGAGATGAATGGAGGTGTGCAGAGGCCAGGACACCAGCTGTGCTGACACGGGGTCAGGGTTGTGGGGAAGAACCCACAATGCCTCGGGACAGAGGAGTGACATGACTGAACATGGCTCTCTGGATGTTCTGCTGAGTAGACTGGTCAAGTAGAAGGCTACAGGCAGAGCAGGCAGTGGGCTCCAACTGTCCAGATAGGAGACAACGGTCACCTGGTACGGGGTGACAGTGGTGGGCATGGTGCAAAGTGCTGGGGTTTTAAGCACACACAGAAGGAGAGCCAGTAGTAGGTATAGGGACACTGGCCATTGGGTGTGCGAGAAGCGGGTGCTGAGCATCCCTCCTATACTTTGAGGCTGGAACATCCAGAAGGGCAACACTGCCATGAGCAGCTGTGGAGCACTGTGGAAGGTGCCGTCTGTGAGTTCAGGTGAGGGAGGGACGTTTCAGCTGGAGACAGAAATGCAGAGCTTTCCAGATGGGTTTAAAACAATGGAGTCCTTTGGGTCACCTAGGGGTGAGAGCAGATGCAGAACAGAGGCCATCCATGACCATGACCTTGGCCCTGATAAGCCAAGTTGAAAAGAAGAGGAGAAAGCAGCAAGGGAGGCTGAGAAAGAGCTGTCAGGGTAGGGAGGGTGATCAGGGCAAGACCAGAAGCCAAGTGCAGAGTGTTCCAGGGAGGGGGAGGGCAGGCCCCTGTGCCAAAGCTGCAGACAGGCCACGGAGGACAAGGGCTGTGGCCTGGCGCCTGGCGCTCGGCCTTGTTGAGGGATGTGACAAGAGGATGGATGGATGGATCTTGGCTTTGAACGTTAACAGCTACATACTTGGCACGAAGAGAGACAATTCGATGGTGTGTACCTCTTTTTTGGAGTTGGAGTCTCACTCCACTGCTCAGGCTGGAGTGCAGTGGCACACTCCCGGCCACCCCAGGTCAACCTGCTGGGCTCCAGTGATTCTTCTGCCTCAGACTTCCAAGTAGCTGGAACTACAGGCACACGCTACCATGCCTGGCTACCTATTTTTTTTTTTTTTTTTAGTCAGAGTCTCACAGTCTCACTCTGTTGCCCAGGCTGGAGTGCAGTGGCATGCTCACGGCCACTGCAGCCTCGACCTGCTGGGCTCAGACAATTCTCCCAATTCAGCCTTCAAAGTAGCTGGAACTATAGGTGTGCACCACCATGCCTGGCTTAGTTTTTGACTTATTGTAGAGATGAGGTCTCACCATGTTGCCCAGGCTGGTCCCAAAGCCTCGGTCTCTCAAAGTGCGGGGATTATGGGCATGAGACACTGTGCCCAGCCCGTACCTCTTGACAGATCACACTGCCACCTAAGAAGTGGTTTCGCCAAAGCCTGAACCTGTGTCTGATCAGGTCTCTTGATTCAGCTTCTGATTAACAGGGAATGCAGCAGACAAAGGAACACAGTAAATGAACAAACACCTGGGGATGTAATCAGCAGAAGCCAGACTAAAAAATCTACAGGACAAATCACATAGTTTCTTCAGCAAATAAAAAGAGAAGGATGCAGGGAAAACTTCAGCTTAAGAAACTTGGAGACAAATCAACTATAATGTGGGGACTTTACTGAGATCCTTATTCAAAAACATTCTGGAAAAAATTAAGACACTTGTGAAATAATTGAAATGTGTCGCTGTGTATTTGATGATACTGAGGAATTTTGATGTGATAGTGGGATTGCATGTGTATGAGATGACACTATGTCTGAGATTTGCTACAGCGGTTGGCTGGGCAGGGGCCTAGATGAAACACGACCAGGTAACTGGTAACTGCTGAAGATGGGTGAGGCATAGCTGGGGCTGGTGGAGGCTGCATTATACTGCTCTGTGTCTTTTTTGTGTTTCTGGGTATGTTTCTTATGGGAAAACTTAGGTAGTCAAGACACTCACAAAGAGGAAGCATGAGACTAGAGGAAGAGGAAGCACAGGACCAGCAGGGCACTCCGACAACACGGCCTGTTCCTGATGGATGGGTCAGAAAGGACACTCACACAGAAGAGGGAGGGACACACACTGCAGTCTGGCAGTCTGTCCCCCCGAGGTCGGGGGATGGGGTCTACCTCGGGACCATGGCTGTAGGAAGGTGGGCTGCAGTGGTGGGGGGGTGGGCTTACGTGCGACTCAGTGAGAAGCAGAAGCCATGTCCTCCTAAGGAGAAGAGAAGGTGCGTGAAGGAGCGGCTGGGAGGCGGTGAGCACCAGGCCTGTGGGCAGCACCTGGCACCCGTGTGAGCTCAGCGGCCGTGAGTGGCCCCCCAACCCCAGCTGTGCCTCTTGTGCCACATCCAGCGGTGGATCCAGGCCGAATCCAGCATGGCAGCGTGGGGCCGGGAACAAACGTGGGGGAATGACCTCGGCGAGGGGCTGGTGCTGGCTAAGAGGGCATGAGGGAGACGAGCACGGGGGAGGCGGTGGCAGCACGTCAGGCTCCAGTGGGCCTGAGAGCCGCTGGGGTTGGAGGGCCAGAGGAAGTGAGCTGCAGAGGCGGGCGTGGCGTGAGTGACATAGGCAGGATCAGGGTAGGGCACAGACGGGGCGTGCCTGGGAAACGTGTTTCAAACTCCTACAAGGTCAGGACAGCCCTTTGGGCAGAGTTTAAAAAATAAACAAGAGCCAGCCCTAGATAAGAGCGAGCAGCGCACCCAGGGAAGCCTTTCTCTCTGTCCATGAGTGGATCAGTGGCCATCTGGGACGGCCTCATCTCACCCGTCAGTGCTCGTCCAAGTGTGCCACTTCACTGAAGAACTTCGGCGGAAAAAAGTGCACTTCAGCTTCCCCACCCCCTCCCCGTGTGACTTCTGCTCAGCCTAGGCACCAGAGCACTGCACGGCTCCAGAGCCTTGTCGCGGGCACGGAGACCCGTGGAGCAGTCCAGCTCCTCGGAGCCTCCACCAGAGACACCCTAGATACAAGGTGGCCCCTGCAGCCTTGCAGGCTCCTGCGAGGTGGAACCAACCACGCTTGCAACTCCAAGAGAAGGTTTGCAACACAAGGAAGGCAGCACTGCCCTTGTGTTGTATTGAGAAGACTGACATTTTGGTTTTACAAATGAAAGGCTTGGTCAGGACTGAAGGAGATCTGGTCAAAGAGCTGAGTGTCTTTGCTTGGCCAAGTAGCAGCGTTTACAGACACTGCCTTCCTGTACTTCACAGAGCACACAGCTCTACTCTGCACGACAGACGCCATCCCAGGGAAGGCTTCCTTTGCCACCCACTTGCTAGGGGCTTTCTGAAGCATGACTTCATTTTGTCCTTACAAAACCTTACGAAGTAGGAATTATGTCCCCCGTTTTACAGATGAGGAGACTGAGGCTTAGTGAGGCTACTGAGTCACTTGCCCAAGGCCATACAGCTCATAAGTGGTAGGACTGATATTGGCTCCCAGGTCTGAGTATGTTCACAAGAACAGGAAGATAGTGCCTGGGATCATAACAGTACATCTTCCATAAAAGTAGTGTTTGTTGGATGGCTTTCTGCTAATTACTGAATTTGAGCTTCTAAATGTTTCTTCATTTAACAAATATTTACTGGGCATCTACTGCATGCCAGTTGCTGCTCTAGGCATTTGGGATAGAACGATGAACAAGGAGACCAAGACCCCTGTCTTCTTGGAGAGTATACTGACATTTTAATTACGTGTGAATGCGAAAAAAAAACCTTACCTTTCTGAGGTAGTTTAGGAAGAACTCTTGGGCCGAGGGCAGTCTTTGCAGAGCTGGTGCTAATAAATAAATAAGAATCATTTAGGATTTAAAAGTGCTACAATATCAATAGTGATATGTTATTCAAGGAAATAAAAGGCATTTACAGAATTATTTTTAAAAACCTTTCAAAACTTCTTTAATAAAATATTTGAGTCTATTTTCCATATTCCACTTTGCCTGGCTGGGGAGGCACAGAGAAAGGATGAAAAAAAAATCCCTCTTCATGAGAAAGCCATGCTCCTTTATTCCAAAGTGCTACCCAGAGGCAGCTGGCATGCTCCACGTGGTGACCCCAAGGGGCACACAGGAGTAATCCATCTCACGTGATCTCACAAGGCAGTTCTGTTTCCAGATAAGGAGACTGAAGTGAGGGGATGTCAGGAGCTGGCAAAAGGTCCCGCGCCGGACAGAGGCGGGAGTGGACATGCAGCCTGAGCTCTGTGGGTTGAACCCTTACTTCCTCCTCCACTACCAAAGCAGACAGCTCGATTCTTGGGACTACAGGCTTTCCCTGGCCTTGCCCTCCTGTTGGAGGACATGCAAATGAGAAGAGAAAATATGCTCCAGTCCTGGAAGGCAAGTCTGCATCACACTGTCTGAATCCTCCAATGTTAACCCTCGACTGAAATGCTGGCGCAGAGTTGGAAACCACTACTTTCCTTTAAGAGGCTGCAACGATTCTCAGAGAATGCCAAGAGGACCCACACCTGGAAAGCAGTAGCAGACGAGCACCTGAGCCATACCCGCCAAGACCCTCTTTACTATCTTGGATCTCCCTTTCTGTCCTCTGTTGTTTTAAGAGCTGGCTTCTTTTTCTTTCTAGTCTAACCAAATTTAAAAAGAAAAAAAAAAAGCCAATCCAACCAACCAATCAACCAACCACCCAAACCAGAAAGGGTCAGAGAAAGACAACGAATGCGTGTGCTCCCGTCCTGTCCTGGCCCTCATATACCCTTGGTCTTAGCTGCTCACCTGAAATCCTACCTTTGGACTTGGGAGGATGATATTGTTGAGATAAAGCTACTACTACATGAGAAACAGTACACGGGAGCAGGCCCTGCTTCCAACGTTTTTGGAGTGTTTTTTCCTGGTGTCCTCTCTTAGCTTCTTCTCAGGAAAGCAGAGCTGCCAAAGACTAGTGTGAGCACAATGGTCGCTCCTGGCCACCTACTAAGGCCAAGGTGTTGCTTGCACAGAAGGCCCTGCATCGACACTGGGGGTGCTTGGACCCGGGCTTCTTCCTATCAGAAATGAATGCAAGGCCACTCCTGCTGCAGGTGCTGTGCACATGTGTGGGTTTGTGTGTGTGTGTGCACAGGCAGTGAGGGGACTGAGAACTCAATGAGTTGCCAAACGGCTGTAGTTGACAATGAGCTCGCCTCTGTTAGAAAACCTTTTATGAGTGCTTCCTGAGTGTTGGATACTCTCCCCGCTCTGGAAGAAGATCTCTAGCACTTTAGATTTACAGGGTCCTCTGAAGCAGAGCTGAAGGAGGACAAAGCAAAGAAGCGCAGGCAGGGCCTTAGAGTGAGGAAGGGGTGCAGGTGTGGTGTCTGTAGAACCAACGGGTTGTAGAGCCGGCTTTGACATCTGTGCCCACCACGTAGCCTTGGGCCTCCCTCTCCTCACCTGTAAAACTGAAAATCAGGGTTCTTGGGCCTATCTCTCAGGGCTGTAAAGCATATTCAAGACAGTGGCATTAAAATCACTAAGGTTTTTCTTTTCCATCTTTGCGAAGCTCTGGAAAGCAACCCTCACACAGCAGCTGACTCCCTGAGGTGTGGTTCTGAAGTGGCTCTCTGTGTCCTTTTCTCCGAGGGCACCTCTAGAGGAAACACTGTGAAGGACGACTGGGTAAATACTGCCCCAATGCAGGGAAAGATAGGAAGAAACGAACATACTTTCAGCCCAGCATTAAAAAAAAAAATTCTACAAACAGGAAACTTGCAAAGAGTCATATTTGTATGTATGAAAGAGTATCTTTTCAGTCCTATGTCTGCAAAAAAGAGTCAAGAGGGAAAGTAACAAAACAAACTTACTTAAAACATCAAAAAGGAAAACTCAATCTGGCAGGTGTTTTGTTAAAGCCCACTGCACGACCCTGTGACCATCAGACATGGGCTGGCTCCTGCCTGTGAAGTGGGTAGAGAGCCCCGCAGCTTCTGCAGACTGTTGCAGCTCACATGAGCTGTGCAGGCAAACCCAGGGTGAGCGCCGCGTTCTTCAGCATGCCCTCTTGTCCGCTGACCACATGCTGGCTGACAGCACTGGGATTGCCACGAGACCCCTGTCTAGAACTCTGTAAGTTGTGACCAGGACCCAACAGGAGGGAGGCATGTTAAGATGGCTTACCTTGATTGCTGAGACAGTCCCTCAAACTTATTTGTGGTCTTACTCGAAGATGATGGACCCACATCATTACCTACAAGGAAAATCAATGTGAGAAGGTGTATCTTCAGACAAGGAAATGCAATGTGGGGACGTGTGGGCTCAGCATACAGACGGGCCTTGCTCAGGTTCCTGAAAGGCACTTTAAAGACCCAAGCCTGAACAGTGTGCATTGCTGGCATTAAAACAGGACAAAATTAAACAGTGTTTTGGGCTTTGATGATGCTTCACTGCTATAAAGTATGTCAAAGAGGTGAGTAGCCTGTGCCCTGGTAAGGCCTTGAAGATCACAGGAATGCGGGGATGTTCCCAATGGCTCAGGATCCTGTCCTCAGTTTGAGGGAAGGGAAAGAAGAGCAACATTTCAAGTTCACCTAGAGGTCCTGATGCGGGAAGCCACCCCCTAGAGACCAGACCCAAAAAGATGTACAACTCACAAGCTGTATGTATACGTGCAAACACTCTCAGCAGGGTGGTGGGAACTGCTCATCTGTTGAGCAAGGAGTCACTCACTGGCTCATCATCCATTTGGACACTGACATTTACTAAGCATCTCCTATGCGCATGGCAGGACTGTGAAGCAAGAGGCCCAACAAGAGTCGACTGCGCTTGCAGAGTTTATGATCTGGCCTGTGAAATTTACACACAGGAACTATGCTACTACTGCAGAACGCATGATTGCTGGTTGCTATGAGGTGAAGAAGAAATAGTTTCTAAAATCTAATGAGTAAGAGGGGGTAGTGAATGCCCTCTGAGGGGGACACAGCACCCGAACAGATAAAGAACTTTCCAGCGGGGTGTTGGCAAAACCAGAGGAACGCAGGTAGAGGTAAGTGTGCTTTTGTCCAGGAGAGGGTTGAAGACTGGTCAGAACAAAAGTGGGTTCTTCTGTGACCTGTTCCGTGGTGGGAGGAGCACAGGGCCTCCCTGGAGCCCAAGTCACCAGGCCCTCAGGAGGAATCCCAGAACCCTGCAGGGCACACGCCTCTGGGGCGCTCACTCATTCCTGGCCTTCTCTTCCGAAGAATGCTCTGGAAACTCCAAGTGTTCTCTTACTTCGGCAGACCCTCTGCTCCCCTGTCCAGATGGCCGACCAAGGGGTCTCAGAAACAGGACGGAAGATGAGAGGGCAGGCCTAAGAAAATAACTGAACTATCCTCGCTACGTAATGGATCTGCTCAACAGCTGCCCAGATGATTTCATACCCATGCAGTATCCTTTCTCGCAACAGGAGACTGGCGTCATTTTCCCCCTTTTAAAGATAAGGATGAGGCTAAATGAATAAATGACTGTAGGTCCTATGGGAAAATTGTGGGCCTCAAAGTCCTGACCACAAATTGACGTGCTCTTCTTTACCCATCATGATGCCCCAACAGTAATGTCAATAACAGCAACAATCATTTATTGAGCACTTATTGTGAGCAAGGTTCTGCACTGGGTACTCACAGTCACTATGCTTATGAGATAAATAATTCAATTACTTTTCATTCTACATATGAAGAAACATACAGAGAAGTCACTTGCCGAAGTCAGGTAAGGGTCAGAGTTGGGACACAAAGTCAGCAGCCTGCTCCCTGGCCTGTACTCTGAACAATCCCCCCACTCATCAGCCCCCCCGTCCTACTGCACCTACTGAAGAGGCTGGCAGAGGGCTAGCACTGGACCTCCTGGATACAATGTTCCATAACTCTAGGACAATACAAGAAGAAACAGGTGGAACTGGCATTACCAGAATCAAAGACTCTCACGTTTAGTTTTATTTAATTTTAATGAGACTCCTTATATCAATATATTTCTATGAGTCCATAACTTACTATTGGAGGACTTCTTTGGTATCTCTTGGGAAATCCTTTGAGGCAGACATTTCTCTCTAGTCCTATGCTCAATGCAGAGTCTCCAACAATCAAAATATCAAAGAAAGCTCTATAGTAAATAAACAGTTGCTAATTCTTTTTCAGGTAGAAAATATTCCAAATAAGCGATTACTAACCCAGTTTGCATGAGACATACATGGGCGCATATGAGACCAACAGGGCTACAAAAGGCCCCGGCTCTGCTGTGGTCACTCATGCTGCTGTGGCCATTCACTCTGCTGTCACACAGACGAGTCATCACAACAGCGGCTGCTGCCTGATACCCAGATGTCCAGAGTCCTCATTCAACCTTCCTCCCTGGCCACTGAAAGTGAGTCTCCATTCTCCACAGACATTGTGCTTTATATCTCTGTAACTTTGTGCCTTCTGTCCCTTTCCCCAGCAGCAATGCCTGTCCCCTTCCACTTGCGGTGAATTCCCGCAGCCTTCAAAGAATGTCTCCAAAGTCACTTTCGGAGAATGCTTTCCTAGTCAACCTGACCACCCCTCTGGCCGACCTCCCATGAGGAGTGGGCAAGGATGCAGATTCTCGAGCCACACAAGCCTGGGTCTGAACTCCCGCTGTACCACTGACCAGTGGGGACGAATCAAGTGACACTGCTCATTCTGAGAAACCTCAATTCCCTCTCTTGTATCACGGGAATAACCACAGTACCTACTGCCCTAGATGAGTGTGAGCATTAAGCGAAATGAGCTGTGGAGCGTGGACACAGTGATGGACCATAGGCAGACGACCCAAGTGGTGATATTATTACTCGCAGTTCGCTGAAGGAACGTGACATACACAATGCTGATGGACTCCATGAGTGGGCTCTCAAAGACAGTGCCTGCCTTACACATCTTTGGAAGCCCACTTTTTTTCTTAAGCAGGATTTATTGAGAGGACAGAAAAGCTGCCACAGTGGGAGGCAATCTGAAGGGGCTGCCCTGGAAGCCCACCTTCTAGCACAATGTCTGGCACAGAGCAGCCAGGAAGTCCCTGCTGAAGACAGACAGGACCTCAGCTCTCTGCCCACAGCAGGCATCCTCACACCTGCACGGGCAGGTGTCTGTGGTCTGGCTGAAAAGAATCCTGTCACTGTCATAGCTAGGCAGAGGCTACCTGCTGTGCCCGAGAAGAAAAGTGGGCTTAGACAAGACTCTGGGAGAAGAGGAGCAGAAGTATGGAAGCTGTCAGTCCTTTTTCTTTCTGAGCGATGTGGAAAAGGACTCAGTGTATCATGCAGACGTGTGCAGAGTGAGCTCGAGGCACACTGGGCAGCGCTGGGCAGGCAATGAGGAAACTGGCCGAGACTCTTGGTCACCCCAGGCAGCTTTGAGGCTGAAGGCCAAGTCTATGGACAGAGAAGAGAGCACTGGTCTAGCAGAGAATGACTTGAAGGTTCCAGGAGTCTTCAGGAAGAGTGAATTAGCATATGGGCCTTGGAGTCAGGAGCAGGTTCAAATGCTAGTTCTGAAGCTTCTGGATTTGTGATTTCATGCAAGTCATCTAACTTCTCTGTGCTTTAAATTCCTCATTAGTAAACTGGGGACAATGACAGTCCTATCTTCTCGGATGCCTGTGAGGGCTAAACACGATAAAGTATGAACAAGTGTATGGTATGTGGCTTATGGCAAACAGGAGATGTAGAAGCCATTGTTATTCCACAACTATGTGTAAAATGGGGTGGAGAGCAAGGGGAGAAGCTACATGAAAATACAATGGAGAAGCCAGGAAAATAAACAAATTTCTACCCGAAGGCTCTTTTATGAGCCAGTGCTACTTCTGATAAGTAGATGTGCACGCCTTGGATCCAACATTTCAAATATTGAGCCTTTTTATCTGAAGTCCTGGCCTTGAAGTATGAGAATCAATTTTTGGGATAGTTTTTTATCCATTACCTACTCTGTATTTTAAAAAATATGTAGCCAGGCATAGTGGCTCATTCCTGTAATCCCAGCAATTTGGGAGGCCAAGGTGAGAGGACTAACTTGAGCTCAGGGGTCTGAGCCCACCCTGGACAACATGGTAAAACCTCATCTCTATAAGAAAGAAAGAAAGAAAGAATTACCAAAGCGTGATGGTGCATGCCTGTAGTTCCAGCTACTTGAAAGGCTGAGTTGGAAGGATTGCCTGAGTCCAGCAGGTTGAGGCTGCGGTAACTGTGAGCATGCCACTGCACTCCAGCTTAAGCCATAGAGTGAAACTCTGACTCAAAAACAAAACAAAAAACTTATACAATTTTAAGTCCCAGTGACCAAAGATGAGAAATGTTAGTAATTCCCAGAGGTCACATGGTCAGGAATTGTAGAGCCTGGATCAGAACCTGGGCTTCGAGGATGTTCATTCAGTGCAGGTTATGGCTTCCCATTGTGTGCTACAGACACATCTCTAAATGCCAAAGAACAGAGGTCCTGGGGAGAAATTGCTTTCAAGTACTAATTTCAAGCTTCTCAAGTGTGAGAACAGAGTTAATCTTACGTATTTTTTTTCTTGGCTCTTGCCTGTAGGTACCTTAGGGTCACATCAGGTCCACTTCCAGCCATTGCATGTGACCTTATGTTAGGCATTTTGTGAAGATACCACACTCCTGAATTTCATCTTACTTTGCTACCTTTATTTTCCTTTTGTTCTCATTTCCTTATTTTTAAATTGGGTTAAAATGTGGTAGTCTATTGTAAAGTAGGTTATAAAAAAAGAGATTGAATGAAATGCCACCCCAAAAAATCGTAAAATCCTCACAAAACCCAAATCTGTCCACAGGCCCATTGTTTTGTTATCAACAGCCCTAGCAGTCTCCAGAGACAGATGGCTGGATTCATTACAGAAGCAGGACTTCAATAATGTGATGCCTATGCTATTTCAGGCACTGTGGACGTCGTGGTTCTGGCAAGGAGAATGCCTGGAGTGGCCTTCTCCGCCTGGGCAGAGCTGAGCTGCACACCAGGGAGCCATGCTGCAGATGGAGGAGGGGCACGGCCTGCAGAGCGCATGCTGCCTGCTGGTCACCCACGCTAAGTGGATTGCCTTCTCCATGTCTCAGCTTTCCTGGGCACAGAAGCCACAGGAGGAACAGCTGGTGGACTCACTTGATCACCTTCTGCTGGCACAGAGCAGCGCGTGGAGAGAGTGAGGAGGAACAGCTCTCAGCCCTGCAGGCTGGAAAAGAATCCCGGCCTC